TTTATGACAAACCTGCCACTACAGGATAGTGTTAAAGATAGTCTTTTCAGTAAGTGGTGCTGGTTCAACTGAATATCCACATAAAAAATTAAAATTGATCCATATTTTTTTACACATAAAAAAGTAATTCCCAGGCCATTGTAGATTAATTGTGAAAGGCAACAGCAGAATATCTTTATTATATTGTGATAAGCAGTGCTTTTTCTTTTTAAATAAGAAAAAAGCACTAACATTAAAGATGAAAATTGATATATGAAACTTCATTGAAATTAAGAATATTTGTTCATCTAAAGACACTATTTATAGAATGAAAAAGCAAGCCACCACAGACAGGAAAAGATACTTGAAATAAATATAACTTGCAAAGGGCATGTACCATAACACATGAATTATCCCTACAGATCTCAATAAGAAAAAGAATCAACCCAATTGGAACAAATGAGCACTTGAGCAGGAACTAAATAAAGATTCTGTCAAATAGCCAATAAAACTGTGAAAACAATCTCTAATTTTATTAGTTATCAAGGAAATGCAAATTAAAACCACAGTAAGATACTACTTCACACTAACTGGAAAGGTTAAAATTGAATATACTCATATACCAAAAACTGGCAAAAGAGTAGCTTTTGGGAGGTAAAATGATCCAGCCACTTTGAAAAACTGGCTATGTGTACTGAATGTGAACATATACATATCCAATGAGCCAGCAGCTATTAATAAGATTAAAATTGTTAGTAATAAACAACAAAGGTGTTAACACATGCAGGAAAAGGTATACAGGAGAGTATTTATAGCAGTGTTATCATACTAGTAAAAACTAGAAACTGCCCAAAAGTCAATACAATGGGTAACAATGGTATTTCCATTCAGTAAAACACTATACTGCAGTGTAAATGAATAAATTATTGCTATATGAAACAACATAAATGTCTTACAAATATAAAGTTTAAATATATTCAAAACTAATCTGTAGTCTTACAAATGAAGACAGTGGCTCCTTTTAAGGATCAAGGAGTTAGCTGTTATTGGGAAAGGCCAGGAGGGGTATTTCATGATTCTGGCTATTTTCCTAACAGTAAAGAATAAAAATAAAAATTATAATAAAAAATTTCTTTTCTTCCCAGCACCAATATCATAGCCTCCATGACATTTATAAATATTTGAAATTAACACTTTAATCATCTACTGTATTTTTACACAAATAATGGGCCTTCTACGTTCGCCAGTTACGCCCTCCCCCCACAGGGTATTTTCGTAAGCGCGCTATGCTAATTTTCTACGGCAACATGTAAAAAAAATTATCACAGCGGCACTTAGGAAAATACCTCAAGGAGGTTGGAGGGCATGGCTGGAGAAGAAACATGAAAGACATGTTATTCGTGTAAAAATATGGTATACCTCTGTTTAATATTTCGTTTTCTTAAATCACATACTATTATCTATTAGTTGCTTAATATAGATTCAATAAGAAAATGTTGATTGAGAATCTCAATAACATCAAATAGAAGCAAATCTTAGAATACCAAAAGAAAGATTTTGATATAATTCTGATATAAAATTATTGGTGGAAAATATGGTTTTAAAGTTAATATTGTGTCTGTTTTATATATAGTTGACTTGAAATGGTGTGATATTGATATTTTAAATTAGTGAAAGAGTTTTGTTTGGTTAATACCAATTTACTTTTCATTCAATAGAAATATAAACTTTTTTTTGTGTAAAACATCGTATGAGGCGTTTCATGACATGAACATTAACCATCTATAAATCAGCTTGATTTAGGGGAAGGGAAATATATTCATCTACTAGGTCTTCCATAAAAAGTAGTATTTGGTTATGGAATACATTTAGTTGTTGATTTCTTATAAGAAACAAAATCCAGAAACCATCTAACATTTGGTGAAATGCAGATATCATTCTGTATAAAGAAGCTTTGAAGAGATCATCTTTGTAAAGAGAAACTGGAATGTTTTCTGAAAATAACAATTTTTTTCTAGATCTTATTTACATCCTATATTCATGTGTGGGCTATAATGTCATTCTCAAGAGATCTGAAAGAAAGTAGAAAACTTTAGGATGTCTCAAATTATCAATTATCATTCAAAATGAAGGCAGAATGTAACAGAGAAATAAACACTGAGAAAAATTTTGTCTTCATCTCAAACAGGGAGCAGCATCAATTCCATGATAAATTTTATGATGAAGTTTTTGCATATGATTTGAAGTTGGTTACCTAACTCAGAGTAAGGAAGCACTATTTGAGAACATGACATAGTTAATAATAACAATGAAAGTATAAAAAAAAAATCATAGTTAAATACATTGACATGTGGCCAAACTTCTAAACACTTAACATATATTAAAACATTTAATATTCACAGAAACCTATGATGGTAGTATTATTATTATCATCCCCATTTTATAGATGAAGAAAATGAGGCACAGTGAAATGAAGAAACTTATTGCAGCTAGTCAGTGGCATAGCCAAATGCAAACCCAGTTAAGTTTGGCTAAAGACGCTATTCTTAACCACGACACTATGCCAAAGGAAAAAAAACAAACCTGTTGCTGTAGAGTCGATTTTGTCTAACACCATTCTCTTCTACTAAACTGTCAGTAGGAGGAAACAACTGAGGATAACTAATACTCTAAGTACCTTCTCATTACCCGTATTGTACAACATCGATATTTTGTTGGCCTCTAATTCAAAACTAAGGGGATAAAAAAGCATTGTTCTATAGTTTCATACAAATTCTTTCAAGGATTTTCCCATAATGCCTTTGTTATACTCCACTAAAACTTTCTATCTTGACTAAAAATAATTTGAAACTCTTTGCTATTTATAGCAGGCTGGACTATTAAAAAACAATGGCTACCTTTTCCTAAAATATGTTCTATATACAATTGACCATATTCAACTGCAACTGATCACATAATGCCTCTTTTATTTGATGACATAGAAAGAATTGTAGAAGCAAAAAGAGTTTGTCACTAAATTTAAGATATTAAAGTATTACTCAGTAAGTTGAGTGTTGGATTGAGTTGAACAAAATTAATTATTGTCATAGTTATCTAGTGCTGCTATAACAGAAATACCACAAGTGGATGGTTTTAACAAAGAGAAGTTTATTTCCTTAGAGTAAAGTAGGCTAAAACTCCAAATTCAGGGTAACAGCTGCTGAGGAAGGCTTTCTGTCTCTCGGCCTTCTCATCAGTGTTCCCCCAGACTAGGAGCTTCTCAGTGCAGGGACCCTGGTCCAAAGGACACGCTCTGCTCCCGGCACTGCTTTCTTGACGGTATGAGGCCCCCCGTCTCTCTGCTCACTTCTGTCTTTTGTATCTCAAGAGATTGCCTTGGGACACAATCCAGTCTTGTAGATTGAGTCCTGCCTTACTAACACAACTGCCAGCTATCCTCCGTCATTAACATCATAGAGGCAGGATTGACAACACATAGGAAAATCACACAGTACCAGGAATAAAGGCCCAGCCAAACTGACACACACATTTTTGGGGGACATAATTCAATCCATGACAGTTATGATCCTGTTAATTTTCACAGGACTTTAAGATAAGAAGGAGAAGAAATAGTGCAAAGTTCAACATGAAACCTGGCAAAGCTGGAATAAATAACTCTCAGTTCCTGTCTGTCCTGAATCAACCCATCTATAAATCACTCTGCTTCCCTAGAGAGGAAAATAATTCCTCTCATTTAATAAAAGCTTCTTTCCCTCTAAGACCTTTGTGAAATTGTTCAAGAGTTTTTCCTTTAAAAATTGCCAGGATCATTTCTAGATTGAGTTACTAACCATAAGAGAAATTTAGTATATTACTAGAAAAATTACCAGAAAAGGGTTTAAAAACCACATTCTCACTTCTAACATTCTTTACTCATGGCTGTATGTTCAGAACTCTATTTTCGTTTTCCAAAGCACTTTCTCCCAAACACTCCAAGGACAAATCTTGTTTCCTACTTGACATAGCTATGTGCTCCCTAGATCATCTGGGGCACACAAATTCTGACTTTATGTAACATATATAAAGTAGTTGAGTATATATAAGGTGGCTGAGTAGAAGCCACCTTTTCTGGAGAAATAGGGGAAGAGTCAAACTCTAAAGGATTTACTTCTAAGCAGAATCCTTTGAAGTAGCTCTACTCTTAAAAACAATAGGAAACATTTCCAAAACTGAAGTCACATTTTTGAACTGCTTCAGTGAAATGATATTTTAATATGAGAATGACAGTAAATTTAAAGAGCATTCAGGTTTAGCTCTTCAGTCCCAGAAGCTTTCTGCCAAAAGAATCAGTGTAGAAAACCACAGAGCATATATACTTCATTGGCAATATATACCACACAGTACTATTTTGAAAATCAAATGGAATAATTCCTCTGAAAACTTTGCAGACTGAAAAATTATACAAATGGATTTAAAATTATGTTTTTCATTATTCTAGGTAGCTTTGTAAAGAAAATCTAAGTGTAGTTATACTTTATATTTAGAAGTATAAGTGGTAGCACATTTTTTTAAGTTACTGTTCACTTGCTAGAATAGCGTTTTAAATCCCCTAAGCATAGCTCTCAATTCAAAGTCTGCTTGAATTATACCTGGTTGAATTTATTTCTAATATATCCACTGGCAGCTTTTTATCTCCTTTTTACTGCTTCATTTTAAATTAATTTTAATTGGATAAATGTATGCAAATATTAGGCTTACACTTCAAATTGTGTTGAAAATCAATCAAAAGGAGAAGACAGGTACATGTTTGAAAGGAGAGGTTATGGAAGGAAGAGAAGTTGCTTGTGCAACTGAAGAATAGAAAAGATACTACCTCTTAAAATGATGTGTAACTATAAGTTTGACAATTGTGACATTATCACTTTGACTTGATTTTTGTCTATGTACAAAACACATAGTGATAATTTTATAAATGTGTAACAAACATAAGGGCTGTACATTATAAATGTGTTTCCAAACTGAAAAGCTTTCCAGAAACTTACCAGTCATGCAGTTTTTAAATTCAATGTCATCAATTGCAGCTCCTCCTCCCAGATCCCTCATTCTGATACCTTGAAATATGACTTCAAAATTCCTCAACTTTCCTAGCAGGATTATGGCCTTTTGCCAGTGATCTCTGGAGTTCTGGTCACTTTCTTGCCATACTTTTGATAGTCCTTTCTCTGTCTGAAAGTAAAGAAGTTTGCTTTAGGGAAATAAACACGAAAAAACAAAACAAAACAAAAAACATCTAGAACAGAAGCATTTGACCAGTGAAACTTGAAAAAAAAAATTTTACCTCGATAATATTCATGATACAGTTTCCCCTACCAACACAAGGGCTATTAATCTTCTACAGTGTTTCCCAAAATCAATATTAGCAGACAAAAATAAACTTGGTATTTTCAGAGAGTCCATTATTAGAGTGTCCTTCTCAGTTAAATCCTGTCCTTTTGTGTACATAAAATTCTTGATATTTGATGGAATCAAAGCAGAAGCCCTGGGTTTATACCTCTGGGTACCTCCCATCTTCTGTTCATATTCTTTAGTTATTTAGATTGCACCTTCCTGCAAAAAGCTGAAATTACTTACAAAAGGAGAAGAGAGATGAAAAGGAGGAATATGTGGGAGAAGTCACTAATTTCTGAAGGATAAAGGAATTGTAATGTGAATTGAGCACAGAGGGAAAGTGATAAATACTTTGTAAAATTAGTCAGATCTCAAAATTCTATTAGGATATGGATATAAGCATCAACTATAACTGTTTCTACACCAAATTCTTCAGTTAGAAACATAAAAAATCTCCAAAAAACTCATGGAAGTTATCTCTTCTGAATATCTATTTGGTTCTACAAGCAGTACAGTATTCTAGCACATAAACAGACCCAGTATAACATAACATGACATGACAAAAAACGTAACAGTAATGATCAAATACATACGATACTCACAGTAAAACAGAATGTAAGCCAGTTAAGCACAAGGACAAGGCTTAGATCATATACAATGTTGTTTGCTATTCTGGCCCTTGTTACTTTTAAGAGCTAGATACATTACGGAATCATGAGGATGGAATATATATATATGTGTGTGTGTTGTGTGTGTGTGTATACATATATACCTACATATATATACATATAGATATGTATGTATACATATATAGATATGTATGTATGTATATGTACAGGACAGAGTAGAACTGCCCCATAGGGTTTCCAAGGCTGTAAATCTTTAAGGAAGCAGACTGCCACATTTTTCTCCCGCGGAGGGGCTGGTGGCTTCAAACTGCCGATCTTTTGGTTAGCACCTGAGCACTTTAACCACTGTGCCACCAGGGCTCCTTAAACAGTACAATAAAAACCCGTTACATCAAGTCAATTCTGACTCATAGCAACCCTACAGGACAGAGTAGGACACCCCCAAAGGGTTCCAAGGAGCTGCTGGTGGATTTGAACTGCTGACCTCTTGGTTAGCAGCCATAGGTCGCTGTAGCTCTTAATGGCAATGCCACCAGGGCTCCAAACAGTACAACAGACAGGAATATTTTGTGAAATGGCGTTTGGGAAACCAGGCAAGATGTTCCTACAAATTTTGACATAAAGCTATGAAATAAATAAACAGATACTTTAAAGAATATGGTTAAGTAAGAAAAAGGAAATGTTTGAAGAGGGGAACCAAAGGGGTCACACATTCACATTTCCGTGCTTTTTTGGGAATGCATTATGTTAATAAATATGACTGGCACCTTGTTTTGCTGAAAGAGACATGAATGTTTGATCAAGTGGTTCTTTCTCTGTGCGGTTACAGAGAGAAAATGGAACTACCTATGAGTTCTTCTAAAATTAACTTTGCAAAACAACTAACAGTCTATAGTTAGATCTTTCAACATCCTTTCAAAACAACAGATTTTGACACCCAGAGATTCATGTAACTTCTGTGTAAAGGGGACGAGAAATTCACACCTCATTAATGGAATTTCTTATCTTTGTGTTTACTGGAGAACAGAGGTCCTTTTCAAGGTTAGTCTTTGACTCTCAGTGATGTCTTAGTGATTTGGAAACAAAGGGGTGGTTAGTTAAATTAAAGATTAAAGTAGAAGGGACTTTATCCAATACTTAGCAATATAATAGAAGTGGGTACTGATGAAAGTCTGACAATTTACAAACTTAATTCACTTTACTAATTTTTCCTATTAATCTGCCTCTGCAATTTATAGAACCACTCATTAGTAATACCAAGCCCCCAGAGAGTTTTCAATAAATATCATCAAAGGAGATTGTATATTCACTTCAGTCAATAAAATGTGAACCATATCTTAAGTCTTACAATTGCGTTTCTAATAAAAAAGAGATTTGGATACTGTATTCATTGACATTTTATGTGGTAGGAAAATAAAATGAGGGCTAATTCTCTTGAAAACCAACCATTGATCAACTTAATGGTGGAAATTGTAGAATCTCATTGTAATATATTTGCTATTGTTCCACTTTGATCCCATAATTATCAAAATTATTCATCTAACTGTGCAGTGGGGTTTGATTTATTTTTTACTTTATCCATCCAGTTATTCATTTATTCAGCAAACACTCAATGCTCACACGGTGTAAGATACTATGATAAACCCACTTCCATAGAGTTGATTCTGATGCATAGCCACCCTATAGGACAGAGTAAAATTTCCCCAAAGGGTTTCCAAAACCGTAAATCTTTACGGAAGCAGACTGCCACATCTTTCTTCCGCAAAGTGGCTGGGGAGTTCGACTATCGGCCTTTTTGGTTGGCAACCCAGCACTATAACCACTGTGCCACCAGGGCTCCTCAAATATTATAATAAACCAAAAAAACCAAACCCGTTGCCTTTGAGTCAATTCTGACTCTTAGTGACCCAATAGGACAGAGTAGAACTGCCCCATAGAGTTTGTAAGGAGCACCTGGTGAGTTTGAACTGCCAACCTTCTGGTTAGCAGTCGTAGCACTTAACCACTATGCCACCAGGGTTTCCAAATACTATGATAGATACCAGGAATAGTAACGTGAGAAGACATGGAAGCTATCCTGTGGAGGTAGCAGTCAAATATGATAGAAAGTCATCAAAAATAAATTACTATAAAATTACTGTGTGTGTGTGAGTGAGTATATATATATGTGTGTGTGTGTGTGTGTGTATGTGTATATATTTACTGTAAAATTACTATGTGTTGTTGTTGTAAGGTGCCAATGAGTCGGTTCTGACTCATAGCGACCCCATGTAAACCCCATGTAAAACAGAGCAAAACACTGTCTGGTCCTGCACCACCCTCACAATCGTTCTTATGCTTGAGCCCATTGTTGTAGCCACTGTGTCAATCCATCTCTTTGAGGGTCTTCTTGTTTTTCCCTGGCCCTCTACTTTACCTAGCATGATGTCGTTCTCCAGGAAATGATCCCTCCTGATAACATGTCCAAAGTTCTCACTTCTAAGGAGCATTCTGGTTGTACTTCTTCTAAGACAGATGTTCGTTCTTTTGGAAAAAAAAAAAAAAAAACCATTGCCATTGAGTCAATTCTGACTCATAGCAACCCTGTAGGACAGAGTAGAACTGCCCCATAGAGTCTCCAAGGAGCACCTGGTAGATTTGAACTGCCAACCTTTTAGTTAGCAGCCATAGCTCTTAACCACAACACCACCAAGGTTTCTTTAGGCAGTCCATGGCATATTCAATATTCTTCACCAACACCGCAATTCAAAGGCGTCAATTCTTCTTTGGTCTTCCTTATTCATCATCCAGCTTTCACATGCATATGAGGCAACTGAAAACACCCTGGCTTGGGTCAGACGCACCTTAGTCTTCAAGGTGACATCTTCACTTTTTAACACTCTAAAGAGGTCTTTTGTGACACATTTGCCCAGTGCAATGTGTCTTTTGATTTCTTGACTGCTGCTTCTATGGGTGTTGATTGTGGATCCAAGTAAAATGAAATCCTTGACAACTTCAATCTTTTCTCCGTTTATCATGATGTTGCTTATTGGTTAAGATGTAAGGATTTTTGTTTTCTTTATGTTGAGGTGTAATCCATACTGAAGCCTGTAGTCGTTGATCTTCCTCAGTAAGTGCTTCAAGACCTTTTCACATTCAGCAAGCAAGGTTTGTCATCTGCATAATGCAGCTTGTTAATGAGTCTTCCTCCAATCCTGATGCCCAGTTCTTCTTCATATAGTCCAGCTTCTTGGATTATTTGCTGAGCGTAGAGATTGAATAGGTATGGTAAAAGGATACAACTCTGACGCACACATTTCTTGACTTTTTTTAAACTTTTCTTCTATTTTTCCCAGACAAAAATTTATGCATACACTGTTACGTGACCCTAATTGCTCTTCTAATACTGTGAAAGCACACTCCTTCTTTCCACCCCTGATTCCCCATGTCCATTCAACCAGTTCCTAACCTGATCTGCCTTCCCATCTCACCTCCGGACAGAAGCTGACTGTTTAGTCTCTTGTATCTATTTGAACTAAGTGGCACTCTCCTCAGGAGTATCATTTTATGTCCCACAGTCCAGTCAAATCCCTGTATGAAGAGTTGGCCTCAAAAATTGTTTTAGTTCTGGGCTGATAGAAAATCCAGGGGCCATGCTTTCCAGTGCTCCTTCAGTCTCAGTCAGACCACTAAGTCTAGTCTTCTGACTAGAATTTGAGTTCTGCACCCCACCCTTCTACTGCTCCATCCAGGACTCTCTGTTGTGTTCCCTGTCAGGGCAGTCATTGGTGGTAGCTGGGCACCAGCTAGTTCTTCTGGTCTCAGGCTGATGAAGTCTCTGGTTTATGTGGCCCTTTCTGTCTCTTGGGCTAATACTTTCCTTACGTCTTTGGTGTTCTTCATTCTCCTTTACTCCAGGTGGTTGGGAACAATTGATGCACCTTAGATGGCCGCTTGCAAGCTTTTAAGACCCCAGATGCCACTCGTGAAAGTAGGATGCAGAACATTTTCTTAATAAGCTTTGCTATGCCAATTGACCTAGATGTCCCCTGAAAGCATGGTCCCCAGATCTCTACCCCTGCTACTCTGTCCCTCAAAGTGTTTGATTGTATTCAGGAAACTTCTTAGCTTTGGTTTAGTCCAGTTGTGCTGACTTCCCCTGAAGTGTGTGCAGTCCTTCCCTTCACCTAAGATAATTCTTATCTACTATCTAGTTACTAAATAACCCTC